GCTTCTGAGAAGAGTGTTAAAGATCACAATGTGTGAGAAAATGCTTTCAAATAAGAAGAAATCAGGAATGTACAAGTATCTATCTTTGTCCAAAGATTTAAAAGCACTTGGGAATACATGGATGCCCATATGCTAAGCAGATATGAAAGGCATTTCACAATTACACTGCCCAGACATACAGATGGACAAATATTATTTTCCTCTTTTTGCTCCCAATAATTCCACTTTTTTTTTTTGCAGTCAGTTTCATTTTATCCAAGAGATTTTGGAGAAGAAAGCAAAATGAAGACTAAGAGGGAGTCTTTTTAGCAGTTTGCCCCTTCTCACTTTCATTGTAATAGTGCATTGGCCTGTGGAAAAAGAGTATTTAAAGAATATTTTGAATATATAGTAAGTTACTTTGTATGTTGTATGAAGTGTCATCATGAATATTTCATTAGGGCTAGACGATGAGTATCAGAACAATGGTTTGGATTGTCTGCCCTGTTGTCACAGCCTGCACATCAATAGGCAACCCCAATTCTTTTAGAGACTGGAAGCTGACAAGAAAGTACTCTCTACAGTGTTCCATCATATATAGCCATCTGTCTCACAGTTTCTATAGCACTGTTGCAGGACAGGACTTATTAAATGAAACCCCATTTCATTTCAATTAGTATCATCCTAAGTGGTCCCAAGCAAATTGCCATAAAGTAAAATCAACTGATGGACATTCATCAATGTGTAGGTTCTAAAGCATGTGCTAGGGCAACCAATACTTGTGACACCTAGCTGTGAAGAGTTTTCACATAGACATCCAGTTACTCTCTTAAATGATCTGATGTGATCCCATTATCCTCAAACTGCATCAAGACTGGAGGTAAGAGACTGGTCTATTGTGAACATCATATGTGTTCCTATTTCTCCATTCCTCATTTACATACATGTAATTTGGATGAAATTTGATATCATCAAGGTCAAAGTCTTTGTGTCTCTCTAATGTCCCAATTTAATGGATTGTGGAGTATTTCATAAAATAGTAAGATTTCTGGAAATTGTTCCCAGTAGTTATATAAATCTTGAAGTTGTATACATCTTAATGCAAAAGCAATGGTGTGGATGACACAATTTGAAAAAGAATCATACCTAATTTTGTTACAGAGTACCTGACTATCACCACACCTATTCTAATACTGTAGGCCAAGTCCTTCCTCCTTAATCCTCTTCCTAAAGAGAAGATAAATCCTTGTATATTCATTGTCAAATGTGTGATAATCAGCTTATGAGATGATTTTTTTCAAGTGTTCTAAACTGAATCTGCTCACACTGTAGGCACTTGGGACCTCATTTCTCATCCTGAGTGAAAGTAATTACACAGTAAACAGTGTCATTCTTCAGTTAAGACATGCATTTGTATACATAAGTATGAATGTATGCTTCTTCTTGTGTATGGATGTATGGTTGTGTGTTTTGTATATCTCTGTTTGCATGTGTGTTACTGTGTAAATATGTGTTTCTGTATATCTGCATATCTATCTGTATGCGGAACTAAACATAAATTTGTCTTCACCAATGTCTTTCTGAATAGGAGTTTGTTTCTGTGAATAACTTTCTGTGTATTTTTTTAGTGCATATGTTTATGTGTTGATCTGCATGTTGTATATTACTTGCACATATGTATATCTTTCTCTGTGTCTGTCTGTCTGCCTCTCTCAATCTGCCTTTGTATGTGAGCACAAATCCCTCTATGCCAATACCTCTCTGTGTAAGTGTTTTCATCTGTGAGTGTCTCCTTGTCTGTAATTGTAGATTCAAGTGTGCATGTACTTCTGGGCCTTGTATGTGTTTTGCAGGTTTCTGTTTTTGTGTGTCTGTTTTGGTGCATATTTCTCCTTGTGTGTAGCTTTGTTTTCAGGTGTGAGTGTTGGCATCTATGTGTATGTCTGTATAAAATATATGTAGCTGCATTATGTATGTCTGTATGGATTTGACTCTCTTTCTCTCACTGTGTCTGTTTTTCAAATCTGTGCTTGATATCTGCATATATGTCTGTTTCTGTTTAGGGTTTCTTTTTCTTAAAGAAATTAAATTCTAGGAAAATCATCAAAATTTTATTAGTCCACTTAATCTATTGTTATATCTCCCCTGGACACCTTCAGTAATACTGCCTTTAAAATGAAATAAAATGCATTTTATGAATTCAAGAAAGGGTACACACACTATAGAATGGTGTGTCTCTCTCAGCTGCACTCCTTTCTGAGGAAAAGACGCTTCACTAATCCAGTTGGAGGCAGAGTGATTATGAACCAGAAAGAAAATCTTCAGAAAGAGTATGACATTTTTCATATTTGGAATTTCCCATATGGTCTTGGACTAAAGGTGAAAATAGGAGAGTTTAGCTCATATTCTCCATATGGTCAACAGCTGCATATGTATGAAGACATGATAGAGCATGCAACAGGAAGTAGACAGGTGGGTCTGACTTAAATGTGCTCTTTTGCATTACACAGCAGTAACAGGAACAATGGGATTGATTTGTGATGTCCTGTAAATTACTGCAAATAAACAGTCACATTACAGAGTATTTTCTGGCTTCCTATTTTATGTTTTTACATTTCCATTTTCGATATGACAGTTCATTAATACTTTGAGGATTTTAGATACGCAGACAATGAGTTTTTTCATTCCAGAATATCATTCTGATTTTTACTATACAATGTAAAATGAGTGCCACTACTGTTCTATACTGTGTCTAGGAAAGAGAGCCACTTCTTCTTGGTACAATTATGTGAGTAGACAGTGATTGGCACCCTTTTTGCGGAAATTTGACACAGGTGTTGAAAGACTGAAGGTAACTCTAAGGGAAAAGTATCATATACAAATCACTAACATTTATTAGATAATTTTTATAAAGCCTTTTTACCAACAGTCCCTAAATTGCCAACATATTGAACCATATATTAAGGTAATATTTTCATAACTATGAATTATAACTTTATTCATTTTTCTTTCTTTTTTGGTTTTAAGTAGATATGGATACTTTGTATATATGTCTATGTAAGACTGATATGTATGATGTCAATGGATACATATCTGTTAAAGAAATTGCTACCTAGAGAAACTTTGCTTGGTCCTGTATATTCATTCATATTTTAGTCAAACCAAAGAGTGTGTGTCTAGTTACCTTATCTGTGTGGGGGAGAAAGTATTGGTAGTAAAAGAAATGGCTTTTTGATGTTTATAAATGATAAATTCCATTATGGGTCTAAAGTATGCTGTAAGTGAACTCTGATGTGGATGGTTTTAAGATATCCAATTCATACTACTCCCATATTATGTGGCTTGAAATTTAAAGTAGTTAATTTCAGTAAATTCGTCAAGTTAGATCTGAAGTTGTATCAGATAGCCCAAATAGTATAAAATCTACAAAATAATATTCTTTGTCAGAGTGATGAGCAGAGTTACTATCAGGGAATAAAACATCTGGACTGAAATTATAGTCAATGACTGACATATACATTCAGGGAAGAACAATGATTTTACAAGTACGATCTTTCCAAGACAAACTGAGCATGGAAAAATATCTACTGAAAGAATACAGATTACCTGGGGACCCTTTAGAGCCAACCCCAAAGTGGCTCCATAGTTAAGATATCTTCTTCCCTGCTATATCCATCCTTCCTCAACCATCCCACTCCCCCAAGTTCTCCCCAATCCTCCCCTTCTCCCTCTCCCTCCATCCCACCCCTACTCTCATGTTCCCAACTTTGGCCTGGCGATCTTGTCTCCTTCCAACTTCCAGGAGGATCGATATGTGTTTTTCTTTTTAGGTTCTCTAGGATTGCAAACTATAGGCTCAATGTCCTTTGTTTATAGCTAAAATCCACTAATGAGTGAGTACATATCATATTAATATTTTTGTGTCTGGCTTACCTCACTCAGGATAGTGTTTTCTATTTCCATCCATTTGTATGCAAACTTCAAGAAGTCCTTGTTTTTTACTGCTGAGTAGTACTCTAATATGTATATATTCCATACTTTCTTCATCCATTCTTCAATTAAAGGGCATCTAGGTTGTTTCCAGGTTCTGGCTATTACAAACAATGCTGCTATGAACATAGTAGAGCACATACATTTGTTGTATGATAAGGCCTCTCTTGGGTATATTCCCAAGAGTGGTATTGCTGGGTCCATGGGTAGGTTGATCCCGAATTTCCTGAGAAACCTCGCAGGCCAACTTCAGCAGCAGCCTCAGGCCGACCATGGCTGGATAGGACTGGCCACTGGGGTCCTGCATGGGCTGGATGCAGACCGGAAAGGGGTGAGGGGGGGCGCTAGCTATGACATCACTGCGGCAGGGGAACCGGAAGTTGCTAACCTCGTCTCCCCACCCCCGCTGGAATTCCCACAATTCCCACGCCCTCCCACCACCACTGAATCAGTGGGGGAGGGGGAGGGGGCGGGGCTGCGTATGCGGGGTGTGGTCAGAGCCAGGGTGACGTCATCATCGGGGCCAGGGTGGGAAGGCATGCTCGGAGTGAGGCAGGGGAGCTCAGGTCTGAGAAGGGGGTCGTCCAGATGTCATTGACTCAGGATGATGTCACCACCTCCCCCCCACCAGAAGTGTGGAGTTACTGACAGCCACGCGGCCCCCCCTCCTCCACCGGAAGTTCCCGGAATCCTGGGCCTGAGAGTGGTGGGCGCCAAACCGGGTCATGGGGATCATGGCAACTATGGGAAGTCAGTCACCGGGCAGGAGGCGGGACTTCTGCAAGACTGGCAATCAGGGGGCCAGGGCGGGACTTGTTAACTGGGAGTTAACCAGTTCATCCCACGGGTTGGGCTTTGGTGTGATAACCAGTTCATCCCACGGGTTGGGCTTTGGTGTGATTGAAAGCGGAGGTGCCCATGACATCATGAACTTTTTCCCTCTTTCTAGGAATACAGAGCAGAGTGTGCAGATCCTGGAAGTCCCGCCTCCCCGGGGTGACTGACAGGTGATTTCACACGTGACACGGACATCATTGCCAGGCTCGGGTTTATTTCTTAATAAAAACACCAGGAAGAATGAATCACTTCCAGGTCAACATCTCTGGGTTCGGTTCACTTCTGGGTCGGTGGGGGTGGGGCTTCATCTGTGTTCCAGGACCCCGGGGCGGGGCTTCCTACGAGGCCAGGTCCTTCCTGAGAGTCTGGTGGGGTGGGGAGGGTCAGTAGGGGTCACGGACAGGCCCGGCCCCACCCTGCAATCCCTGACCTCTGACCTGGGGATTGACCAAAGCGTTGTCGCTGACTTTGTCCCGGATGTCGGGGATGCGGGGGAGGAGGCGTTGCCAGATGAACCTAGGGTCGGGGGTCAAGGCAGCCAATGTGAGGCCACCGGAGACATCTTGGGTCAGGGCGGCCATGTTGAGGCCTGAGCGGCCATCTTGGGCCATGGCAGCCATGACAGTCATGTTGGGTCAGGGCAGCCAATGTGAGGCCATGGCAGCCATCTTGGCTCAGGGTGGCCATGTTGGTTCAGGGTAGCTATGTTGATGCCTGAGCGGCCATGTTGGGTCATGGAAGTCCATGTGAGGCTAAGGTGGAAGCCATGTTGGGTCAGGACAGCCAAATTGAAGTCATGGCGGCCATGTTCGGTCAGGGCAGACATGTTGAGGCTATGTCAGCCATCTTAGGCCAGGGCGGCACCCACTCACCTCCTCCAGGCGAGCGCCAGGCCCAGGGCGCAGGTCAGGGTCACGGCCATCATGATGATGTAGACAGGCAGGCGGGGGACGGCGGGGCGGTCAGCGCCTGTAGGAGTGGCGCATGGAGGTGGTGGCGGCAGGAGGGATCGGAGTCATATAGGAAGGGGCGGGGCGGGGCTTAATCGGGAAGGATGGGAACGGGCAGGAAAAGGTGGGGCTCATGTTCACAAAGGGGCGGGACCCACCAAACTTCACTGGGGGACTCCACGCACTCCACCGCTTGCTGCGCACGTCGCCCACACGCACCCTGACCACGTGACCCTCCCGTGGCTCTGGGCTTGGGAACTCGAACTGGTTCTCTGGGCGGCTAGAGACGGTGACCTGGGGAGGGGTCAGGTCAGGGGCGGGACTTCCGGGGTTGGTGGGGGCTGGGGGATCACTGCGGGGTTAGCTCACCGCAGGGTCAGCTCACCATGGTGTCCGGGTCCGTGTCCTAGAAGACAGGAAGTGGGGTTACAACGACAGGAAGTATGACCAGAACAACAGAAGTCTCGCCCCCAGGAAACAGGAAGTGAGGTCAGAGCAAAAGTCTCGCCCCCTCCCCCCCGCCATTTCCCAGCATCCTCTGGGGCGCACGCACTGTGCTGCGCAGGTCGAGCTGGTAGCGGAAGTCAGCGAAGCTCATGGCGGCCCAGGTGCGGGGTGGAACCCAGGAGACTGCGCAGTGTGAGGCATTGCAGCTTCCGGTGATGTTGCGGGGCGGGGACAGCCGCTCTGGGGGCGGGACCAGTGGTGAGGGAGGCCCAGCCCACAGGCAGGAAGTCCTGCCCTTCAGCTGTAAGTCAAAGCTAATCATGATACCAAACAGGAAGTCCCACCTCTCAGCTGTCACTCAAACCTAATTCTAATACCAAACAGAAAGTCCCACCCCTCACCTGTCAGTTAACTCAGGTCCCAAACAGGAAATCCTGCCCTTCAGACGCCAGTCAATCACACCCAGCCCTGCCCACACACCGGGAAGTTCCGCCCCCAGCCATGATGTCACCCACCGATGGCCTTGGTATTCAGGATGATGTCATAGGCCCTCAAGGAGCCGCCCGACTGGCTCGAACCGGCCACGGTCACGTGAAGCCGGTCCGGCAGCCCTGTGAGGTCATCGATGCGGCAGCTGGAGGGGGCGGGGCCGCTGGGACATCCGGGCAGCTTGTGGCCCCTGGGGGGTGGGGCAAGGGTTACTTGGGCAATGTCACCCCTCCCCTACCTATGATGTCATTGTGTGGAAACCTATGTTGTCTCCCCGCCCGATCTATGACATCACCGTCACCCGAGGCTCACGTAGCGTTGCGCAGGACCAGGAAGTAGCGAGCGTCTGGAGGTGCAGCAGGCCCTGCCTCCCAGGTGCACGTCATGGCAGCCGCATCATGGATCTCGCAGGAGACGTTGACAGCCTCGGACCCTGGGGGCCCTGGGGGAAGTTTTGACGTCATTCTGGAAGCCCCACCCCCAGGGACACTCAGGAGGGGCTGGAAATGGGGTGATTGGCGTGCCCCACTCACACCCGGAAGTCCCGCCCCCGCACCAGGCAAGATGTAGTCCAGCCTCTCGTGGATGGTGACATTGCCCATGGTGGCGTTGACCCCCAGCGTGACCCCGAGGTGCAGGGTCAGGAGCCTGAACTGGCAGCGGCACCCAAGAGGATTCTGGGGGAAGATGACATTATACGAGACCCCCCTCCCGGGAGGCTGACGTCAGAGATGATGTCATCGGGTGTTCCCAACCCTGGGTAGGGATGACGTCATCGGGAATCCCCAAAGCTCTGGAGAGGGATGATGTCACTGGGGGCCCCGCCCCTCCGAGAACGGATGACGTCACCACGAGCCCTGATCCCCACCTGCATCCTGCGCCTTGTCGGCCTCCCGTGCAGGGTGAAGTTCACGTAGCATGATGTCACCGTGATGTCACTGGAGCAGAGCCAGGTCAGCGTCCAGGTGCCAGGGTCGAAGGTCAGGTTCAGGGAAGAGGGCGTGGGAGGGGGCGGGACTTCTGGTGCGGGGCCTTCGGGCACCGGGCGGGGCCACGTCAGCTTGGAGTCAACCCGAAGTCCCGCCTCCGCGGTTAGAGAAGCGAGGGTCAGGGTGGCGAAGAGCGGGAGCAACATGGCGGCTAGGGGCGGGGCCTTGCGGGGTGGGCTGGGCCGGGCGGTCACCTGTCAATCAGAAGACAGAAGCATGATGGTGTCAGCTGTCAATCACCTGGGCACTCAGCGTAGCCCGCTGCCCCCAGGAGTACAGAACACAGTACCCAGGTACTCAGCACAGTACCCAGCATCTTAGAGGACTTAGCCTGGGACCCAGTACCTGGGAAAACTCAATGCAGGGGGGCTGGAGCGATGGCTCAGAGGTTAAGAGCACTGACTACTCTTCCAAAGGTCCTGAGTTCAATTCCCAGCACCCACATGGTGGCTCACAACCATCTGTAATGAGGTCTGGTGCCCTCTTCTGGCCTGCAGTCACAATACAGACAGAATATTGTATCCATAATAAATAAATCACATGGGAGGACTCAGCACAGCACCCACCACCTGAGAAGATTCAGGACAGCATCCAGGAGGACTCAGCACAGCACCTTTACAATAAGTATAGCACCTGGGAATTCAGCCCAGAACACGAGAGAACTCAGCATAGCACCTTGAGAGAAAGCACAAGACTCAACCTAGCATCCAGAAGGGCTCAGCCAAGGATCCAGGAAGACTCAGCACAGCACTCAGCACCCAGGAGGACACAGCACCCAGGAAGACTTAGCACAGCCTCAGGGTAATTCAGCCCACCACCCAGCATTCGGAAGGACTCAACCAAGCAACCAGGAGGCCTCAGCCAAGCACCAGGAAGGACTCACTCAGCATAGAACCCAGCACTCGGGAGAACTTAGCACAGCACCTTGAGAGACAGCACAGCATCTGGGGACTCAACCCAGCACCTGGGAGGACTCAGCTCAGCACCCAGCACCTGGGAGGACTCAGCCCAGCACCCAGCACCCGGGAGGACTCAGCCTAGCACCCAGCACCCAGGAGGACTCAGCCCAGCACCCCCAGCTCCCTGCTCCTCACCCGGTCGCCATCGACTGCACTTCCTATTCTGGGAGAGGAACTGAGTGATTGACAGGCGGGTGATGGACAGCTGGAAATGGGGAAGTGGGCAGGGCACAGGGTGATTGACAGCTGGGGGCGGGTACCTGGCTTGATTGACAGTGAAGCCCGATGACATCATCTTGGGCGGTCTCTGGTGCAGATGGGAAGTGGCCATGGCGCAGTCCCGCCTCCTGTCAATCACCGGGGATATCTGACATCACTGGGGTCACGTGGTTGGAGGCTGTGGATGACGTCATGGGCACAGCACCTGTCAATCATGGGGGGGGGCTGCCATGAGGCCTGGGATTTCCCCTCCCAGGATGCACTGTGGGCGGACTGAGCACAGAGCCCAGGACTCAGCATCCAGATCACCCAGCACCCGCATCACATAGCACATAGCACCAGCATCCAGCACCCGGATCACCCAACACCCAGCACTCAGCACCCGGATCACCCAACACCCATATGACCCGAATCACCCAGTACCCAGCACCCGGATCACAAGCACCCCCACCCCATATCTGACCCCCATCGCTGACTCAGCTGAGATCCCCATCGCCCCCGCGCAGGCGCACTTCCTTCCTTGACTTCCCCAAAATGCCAGGGCCGGGTGGGGAGACCGAGCTCAGTCCCCGCGGTGCTCGGTGTTTAGTACCTGGGCTGCTCCGTACCCGCGGTGCTTGTTCTTTAGTACCCGGGGTGCTCGGTCCCCGCGGTGTTCAGTGCTTAGTACCCGGGGTGCTCGGTGCTCAGTCTGCTAGGTGCTCGGTGCTGAGTCCCCGCGGTGCTAGGTACTAAGTTCCCGGGGTGCTCAGTCCCCGCGGCGCTCAGTGTTTAGGACCTGGGGTATTCGGTGCTCAGTTCGCTGGGTGCTTGGTGCTGAGTCCCCGCGGTGCTAGGCGCTCAGTCTAGGGTGCCCGGTGCTTAGTACCTGGTGTACTCGGTCCCCGCGGTACTCGGTTCCCTCGGTGCTCAGTCAGCTGGGTGCTTGGTTCCATCGGTGTTCGGTGCTCGGTCACCGCCATGCCCGGCCCCGCCGGGTCCATCGCCGTCATCCTCCTGCTGCAGCTCCAGATCCGGGAGAGCGCGGGTGAGTGGGGATGGGCGGGCGGGGTCCTCGGGGCTCGCGGGGTCATGTGGGGCCCGGGCCGGGGTCGCGGTGACGTCAGAGAGGGCGCAGCCGCGTGGTACCCACTTCCGGGATCCGATCAGGCACGGGTGGCGGACAAGGCTGGGGACGGGAAATCCCGCCCCCGAGTCCAGATTGACAGGTGGAGTTTACAGCTAGAAAGTCCCGCCCCGGGCGCCCAGACTGACAGGCCGGGAGCGCAGCCTCGGGGCGCTCAGTCTCTCCCCGTCCCTGACGTCACCCGTCCTCGCCCCCCAGAAGACTTCACCGTAGTTTGCCGTGACCTGCGCGACGTGGAGGTCACGTGGGACCCAGCCGAGCATGCAGGGGCGAATCTGAGCCTGACTTGGCGGTGAGTGATTTCGGCCGGGGCCCCGCCCCCTCCCCGGCCTCCCCAGGTCCCGCCCACCCTCTGACCACGCCCATTTCAGAGCCACGCCCACTAAGGCCCCGCCCCGACTCCCCTCATCTGCACAGCTACACCTCAGAACCCCTGCGGCCCTGCCCCCGGTACTTCCTGTCCGGCGGCCTCACTTCCGGCTGCGTCCTCCCAGTGCGCAGCGGACGCCCCCTGGAGATTGACGTGCGTCGGGGGGCGGAACCCGTGTACCACTGGAAGGGGCTGGCCTCAGCCTTCCGTGAGTGACAGGGAGGGGGCAGAACCTGGTTCATGAGTGACAGGGAAGGGGGCGGGGACTGGTTCTTGAGTAATGACTGACAGCTCTCTTGCACTTGTGTGCACGCTCTTTCTCCTCCCCCCCTCCCCCCTCCCGTCCACAGTGAAGCCCCGCCCTCCCGACAAACTAACTCTCCATTGGCTGGACGATGCCATCCATGTCACATGTCCTGCCCTCCCCCACATTGGCCTCGATTATGTCATCCAGCACCGAGGGATGGGGGACACGGACTGGGTGGTGAGCAGCGACATCATTGGGTCCCAGCATCCACTGGGGCAGGGGTGACATCATCAGGTCCCAGCTTGCAACGGGGAGGGGGTTGGGTGACTTCATGTCTCAGCATTAGGTCCCAGTATGCATGGGTGTGGTGGGCATTATGCCATCGTCCCAGCATCCACTGGGGCTGGGTGACATGGTCGGGTCCAAGCAAGCAACGGGTGGGGGAGTGATGATGTAATAGGTCCCAGCATGCAGTGGGGTGGAGGTGACGTCATCAGGGTTCTATGCGCAGCCTTCCAGTGAAGTCACTGGATTGTTGCCCATGTATTTCCTGCTTCCATATGTCACCGGGGTCACGCCCAAAGACTTCCTGTCCCGTCTCGCAGGCCTCCGCTCCAGCGCCCTCCTGTGATGTCACCGTGGGCGGAGTCGACCGCAGTGCCTGCCTAGCCTTCAGGGTCCGGGCGTTCCCGCGGGAATCGTTCTATGGAGGCGAAGTGCAGCCTAGCGATTGGAGCCCTGTGACACAATGGAGGGCCGGTGACGCCATGGGTGCAGGGAATGGTGGGTGACGTCATGGGCGGGGCCTGGCTGGCAATGTCAAGGGTTTTGGGCTGTACGTGGGTGACGTCATGGGGCGGGCCCTGGCAACTGACGACACCCGTCCCGTGACCCTGAGGCCCCGCCCCCAGACTCCTGTCAGGCCCCGCCCTATTCCGGGTTCCCAAAGCTCCAGGTCGCCTGTGGCCTCGTGACCTTGCTGACATCATTGCTGCTGCTGCTGGCACTGTGGAGGTGGGGGCAGGGCCTAGGAGGGGTGGGCGGGGCCAGGGACAGGGCAGGGAACAAACTCAGGCTCTCTGCTTGAGGCTGCGATGACGTCACTTCCTGCTCTGCCCCCAGGGTCAAGCACAGCCTCCTCCCCTGGGTCCCCGACCCCAGGGGTGGCTTCCGAGGACTGTTTGAGCGACATGGTGGGAACTTCCAGGTATCGCCCACCCACTTCCTGTCAGGGTCCCGCTTCCTGTCCCTCATCGTTCCACTTCCTCTCTGACTTTGGACCAACATTGGTTCCCACCACTCACTTCCGGCCCCACCCCTCACTCTCGGCCCCACCCCTCATTGCAGGCTCCGCCCTTAAACCCCAATCTTGCTCTTAACCACGCCCCTCACCCCGCCTCTCCAGACCCGGCCTCAAAACCGACCCCACTCTCGCCCTTAGCCTTGCTCAGGCTGAGTCCCGGCCCCGCCTCTCACTTCTGGCCCCGCCCCCAGGCCTGGATTGCACAGGACGTGTCTCCGCCCCCGAAGCCCGAAGCCATTGACCCCACTGACCCTGCTGAGGTGGCCCTGGTCCTGGAGCATCATGGGAAGGGCTCGGCACCCGACCCAGCCTTGGGGTCTCCTGGGCTCCCCTGCCAGGGCCCGAGGGACAGGGACCTGGTGAGGGTGGGCGGGGCCACCTTCGTGATGGATGGAGGTTCATACATGACCCTGTGACCCCGACGTGACCCTGCTGGCTGTGACCCCGTCGGCCTTGATGAAAGAATTAGCTCATAGTGCATGCTGGGAAGAGGGAAAATTTCTGGGTCTGCATTTCTAGTAAAACGTCACATGTGAGTCTCAAGTATTATGATGTCACATGTGAGTTTCTGGTATGTGAGTGTCATATTACTGTGGGGTTCTTATGCACAGCATGACGCCTCGCAGACTGAACTACATCTCCTAGCATTCACTGCGGCTCCTTCCTTATTACTTCTGGCTGTCAAGCAATTTTTTTCCTGATTCCGAGTATAAGCCAGCAGAGCTCTTAATATTGCGGGTGCTGTGAGGTGAACTACTTCTCCCAGGATGTACTTTGATTTCGTTATCTCACTTCCGGCGGGGATTCACGTACTTCTGATTCCCAGTATGAAGCAGGGCTGTGGGGCTCTCACGTTGAACCAGCATGCATTACGGGGCTACTCCTGACTTCCGGCTGTCAACGCGTCCTGATTCCCAGTGTAAACCAGTGCAGTCCGGGAATGCAGCGTGGAGACACAATTTGGGCCTCCCAGAGTAAACTACATCTCTCAGTATGCACTGCGTCGCCGGGAATCTCACTTCCAACTGTAAAGCACATTTTTCCGATTCCCAGTTTAAGTCAGTGCTGTGCAGGACGGAAGCCGGTGTGGGCCTACCAGGGAGAACTACATCTTCTAGCTTGCACTACGGCCCCTGGATCTCACTTCCGGTAACCCGAACTTCTCGTTCACGGCGTCTGTGACCATGGTAGGATCCTATTGTGAACTACATCTCCCAGTATGCCCGGCGGCTCTTCCTGGACCTATTTCTGATGTCATTAGCTGTCACTCCGACCGCCGGTACAACCGAAAGTGTTCACCACTGCGCCGGTTTCTCGGGCACGCCGTGTCCGTTGACCGGGGTCCCAGGTGAACTACATCTCCCAGAAGCCTCGGCGGTGTTCTACAAAACTTCCGGTACATACCGAAAACGCCCGTGCCTGCCTTATTAACGAATCCCCGCCGTGGTCTATCGGTGGGCGGTGTTTCGCGGTAAACTACATCTCCCAGAATGCTCGGGATTGCTGCCGAGTTCGTAAAGTTCCGCCGTGACTGTGAATCGGGGTCCCATGTGAGCCACGTCTCCCAGAGGGCTCGGCGGTTTGCCCAACTACTTTCTAGTATACACCAGAATCGCGTTTGACCAGCTTCCTAGGCCCCACGGTACTTGGTAAGCGGTAATCTCTGGTGAACTACAACTCCCAGAGTGCTCGGCCCTTTCCTACCTAACTTCTGCTAGAAACCCGAAGCGGCCTTCCCCATTTCCGATTCCACACTGGGGTCGCGGACAGTTCGAGCGGTGGGAACTACAAGTCCCAGAATGCTTCGCTATGCTTATCGGAAGTTTACAGAATTGAACGGGGTCACGCTTTGATGGACCGGATGTAAACGGGAGCTCTCCGTCCTACACCGGAAGTGACCAAGGACAACCGGAGGGGACCGAAAACGACCGGAACCCTAGCGAGCCTGACCGGAAGTACTCCGTCCCCCATTCAAAACCCCTTTGGTGGTGCTCGTCGAAAGTCCCTCTCCTACCCGGAAGTCCCGCCCCACCCGTATCTCTAAGGCCTCCGTCTCTGCCATTGGCCGCGGAAATTTATTCATTGCGGTTATATAT